AACAGAGGGTGAATTATTCCGGAGATCTACCAGGACAACACCAGAAGCAAATCTTATAATATTTAATCTAAAAGTTTTCATTTTTCCATCCAATATTGTACTTTCAAATGATTTAAGGATGATCGAACTAATTGAAAGAATTTTAATATAAAATTCAAAATCCCTTCAGAGAAAGAGAGTTAATAAGTTTTGTTAGATAAAATAATAATTATTATTAAAATCTGTTGTTCTCAAAGAGATCATACAAAAATAATTTTTTTTATGAAAACATATTAAAATAAAGGAAAATTTTGATCATAGCGGGATTGAATTCCTCAAGTTCCTATTGATCTATGTACAAAAGAAAATTAAAATTTCCTTAACCAAAAGTGTATTGTCATCTCTTATTTGATTCCTCCAAGCATTTACTCCGATTCCAAGCTATTTCCAAAGAGTAGGTTTAAAACAGAAGAAGTTGATACTTATAGATTTGCATCGTTTATTTGATAATTACTTTCAAAAATTTAAAAACGTAACGTAACACATATATGTTATAGAGCACTCAGTATTGATTCCTGTTCATATCTGTATCTAAATGTCCATGTGGATAACATTGAGAGTTCAAAAATAATTTGACATCTAACATTTTACAATGATCAAAATTACTGGTATTTTTTTTATTCCTAATTTTTTGGATTTGTTTGACAACCAAGGATAATTTCAAGTTGCGCTGCAGTCTTCACTGCTCATGCATATTTCTTCGATACCGGAAGCACTGGATACTCATATAAGTTCCATGATCTGGGGGAATCATTCTGAATGAAATGGAGAAATTCAATTCTTTTGGTATCTGATAGTGTGACGTACGGGATCAACCATTCTATTTTCTTAATATTAATTCTCAAATCTTCATCGGCGGTTTGAATAACATGTAACGAGATTTTTCTCGTTACGGGTTGAAATCCCCCTGGTAACAGAAAAGAACCCTGTTGTATGGACAGTGGAGGCGGAATAGCCATCTAGCGGAGCCGAAGAGCTCTCGGATGGATGGCAGGTAAGACTTTCCTCCGATGAGGGGCCAAAGGCATAGCGGTTTGGGTGGAAACTGCGACCCTTGTCGGCCCTGAGGACGTTAGTAGACTGCGCATATTTGGAGTTGTCTCAGCATGTGATAGGGAGTATTGGGGCCGACGTACAGGCCGTCCAACTGAGCAACTCCGAAGCGTTACTGACTTAGACTAGGGACCAACGGCCAGGTGAGAGGACTGGTGCCCCCGGGATCCCGTCGGGTTGATTGGCCGTGGCACGGGTAACGGAATGACCGTGTTGCCGCCGAGATATCCAGACTAGGGGGGGAAGGCCCTAGGAGATTTCGGGCAGTCGAGCGCGAGCTCTCGATT